TGTTGGATGTGAAAGTGTAGGAAGAAGCTCGGTGGCTTGTTCCTGATACGTTACTTGAGATGGATTGAGAGCGTGCGGAACGGGGGGAATTCCTATTAGGGGTTGGGGGGAACGAGTAGTAGGAGTAGTTGTGTGAAGAATTATCGGTCATATATCAATTGACGAATGGGTCGTCTTTGTAGTCGTAAGAAGTACTGGAAGCAAGGCCGAGCAGCAGGCCTTTATGAGGCGCATGTCTGCAAGCTGGACCATCTGGGACAGATGACGTCGAATGGTGCTATGCTGGAGACAGGAGCTGGGCTCTGTTTGGTGCGGGGAGGCATGGCAAACCTGATTTGGCGGCGCACTGTGTGCAACGAGGGAGAGGAGGATTGCGTCACAGTGGTGGCTAGATTTGGCTTGGGGCGGGGCGTCAGCCCGTGGTGGTGGTTTGGTGCCCACTCAGCGGGTTTGGACAAGGCAGGCGGGCAGCTGCAGCAAGGGGGGGTACGGGCTGTGGCTGAGATTGGCATGGCAGGGCAGGGCAATCGTCGATGGAGCCGCGGAGGGGCGGACTGGCACCGGGATGGATTAGAGTTGAAGGGCTTGGGCGGCATGCAGACGAGCTGAAACGCCCAGCCACAAGACGCCGTGAAGTTACCTTTGGTGGTGGCTGCTTGGCAACCTGTTCCGAGTACGAGAACAGAGCTTAACGTCAGTGTTGCTGTCTACGGTCTACTCGAACTCCCTAACACACGGCTGACTATCTGGATTGAGAAGCTGGCAAGCAGAGGCACGGTAGGGCATGGCAGAAGAAAGGTCGGTCAAGCAAAAGCAGATACATGGAGTCGAGGCTCCGATCGACGACACTGTGGCTGGTGGTGTTGAGGATCGCAGACAGGTGTCAAGTAGCATCCCGGACGACGATGATGGGTCCCCCCCTATCACAGCAGGGCCATGTGCATACAGGATAGAGAGAGAGGGCAAGCGGTGCCGTGTGGGAAGCAAGCAAGCAGGTTGTCGCAGCGGGCGGACGCGTGTGAAGTTGGAGCTGTTGACATCATACCGCCGGGAGCTCCCCTGTCGAATCCTCGCTTAGCTTAGCCATGGCTTCAACATGAACGCCACGAGCCCCGTCAATGGCAAAACAAAAAAATGGACTCCAAGAGGGCTGGACAAGACCCTGCGTCACAAGCTGCTGAGAGTCGAGTGAGCAGACGGCAGGGGGGCTGGGCGGCGATGGGAAGCCAGGCACCCGCACGGCCTCCAGCCAGGCATTGCGTGAACGTGAGCTCATACCAGTGTTCCACACATACAGCTGGAAGTAAATTACTCGTGGGCAAGGACATGAACGGCGGGGCGGAGGGGCAGCACGAGCACCCTGCCATGCCAACGGTCAACGGCGCGACGTTGGGCCTTCGTCTCCCGCCCACAGGTGTCGGTCGTGACAGGCTGTCGCAAAACTCTATCGTCCCATGGCCATGCCACCCTCGAGCCGCGCCCAGCATTCCGCCCCGGCCCCACGCGTGTGCGCACTTAGACTGCAGTACAAAAGGGTCTTGCCTGGCCTGCTCCGTCGTAGCACGATTCCCTCTTCTGGCAACCCCCCGCTGCCGACACGAGCACACGCAACTCCTCATCGGTGTGCAGCATTGTCGTTTCAGCCTGTGGCTACCCGTCGAGTCATTGCCGTGTGTATACATGGACATGTGCATGGCAGCCTGCATGGCGGAAATGATGGTTGCGGACATACGTACTTGGTGCAAGGAAGATCAAACAAAAGAAACAACTCTGGGTCGGTGACGAAGTCTGATGTCACCGACCATGCCGCCCTGGCAGATGGCAGCTGTGGCGGCACGGAACGCGGGTCCCGCTCGCCTGAGCGCCGCAAATCAGAGCTAACGGCTTCCTGTGCTATGGTTCTGGGCCTGCCACTCGCTGCCCGATACTCACCTCCTCATCCTCCGCCTCCACCATCGTGCAATCAAATGCGCCACACTGCCGCAGCCCCTTTGCACCGTCTGTCTAGCTCCGTGTCGTCGTGTTGCTTTGTTTGACCAGATGCAGACAGCCTCGCACCAACATTGGCTTCCGACTGGGACAATGGTCCGCCCAACTCTGATGCATGTGGATATCATTAACCTAATTAACCTCATAGCAAACCCCATCATGACGACCTGCACGTGACCTGCAGCTTCTCGGCCTGGCTTTGCACTCGCTCCTTCCATGACGCAGGGTCTCATCTCGATCCCGTAGGCGCAATTCCGTCCTCGACATCTTCCCCTGGCTTGCTCAACCACTTCTTCCTCTTCTGCTTAGCGCCCGTGCTCTCCCTTGCTGTCCCTCTCACCTTGTCCTTCTCAGTCCCGCCTCTGCTGAGCCGCCTCCAGATCCGCCGGCTCAAGCTTGCCTGCTTCTTTTCCGCCTCCCTCTGCTCCGCCTCTTGCGCCAGCAGTTCCCGCTCTCGTTGCGCACTCTGACTCTGGTCCATTTGCTCTTCCACCTTGCGCGCATGCTCCTCGGGGTGCACCACCTTCTCCTCGGCCTCCTTGATATGCGCAACCCCGTGCTTGACCCTTCTCCGTGTCTTGACATACGCTTCAAGACCTACCAACACAGCATAGGACCGCGAAATAGACACACGTGACATGTCTACCCCATTCTCTTTCAACGAATGAACAAATACACGAAAATTCTCGGTAGGAGGTCGATAGTGGCCAGACAGAGGTGAGAGGCGCCGTAGCTGGCCATCCTTGACTTTGATCAATCCAGCAGCAGAGATTCGAGCTCCATGGAGGAACGAGCTATGCTGGAAGGCGCCCGATTGCTTGATTCCAATATAGAGGCGGAATGACGTATCCGCAACCTACCACCATGTTAGCACACTGGATGGAATGGCGGCAGCTCCAGAACATACAAATATCCAGGTATTCGGCTTCACCGAGCTACGCAGCAGGTGGTTCAGAATCGTAGCTGCCGACACATATCTGATCTTGGATATGCCCTTTGCTTTGTCGAGATCCTCATTCACATAATGCTCGGCCTCTGCATCGCTCTCCGACGCCGAAGAGCTCGAGCTGATGGATATCAGCGAGCTCCGCCGTATCGTCCGACTCTGTCCAGAATGCAGCTTAGCCTTTGGTCCATATGCTGGCGTGTCGTCGTCCACAGGCACCACACCGTTGACACTATCTTTGAACTCGGGCGTAGTGTTGATCCGCTCTCCGTTCTTCGCCCAGCACAACCGTCCTTCCCCGTCAATAGTGACCAAGTAGTTTAGCCGCTCCTCACGCGACAAATAACGCACTCGCTCCGAGTCCATCCTCTGTCTCGACACGGTAGGATGTTCGTAATTCTTGCCTTCGCCGTAATCCAACCAGTAAAAGAAATTCTCGTGCGTGTCCTCCTTCTTCCACTGCTCATGGTACGCGCGCAGATTACTCCCATAGCGGTGCTTGTGATCGACCATTTCGAGAAAATACTGCAGATCCATCATCTTGGCCGTCTTTTCGCGCTCCGCCCTCGATGCGCTGCGCTTCCGCCGCTGCTCCGTCTGCTCCTCTGACCCGCCCTCGCCCTCGTTGTCCGTCTCTTCAACGCTATCATGCGGATCGTCTGCGCCCGCTCGTCGCGCAATCTCACCTACTTTTTTCCACTTCTCACGCGCAGCCGTCGAACTCGCCCGCGCCCGCTGCTCAGGCGTAGTCAGCTTCTCGCGCAGCGCTGCTTCCTCTGCAGCCCGCGCCGTCGGACGGGTAGTATGTCGCCATTTGGCTGTAAATTTTTCACATAAATCTTAGCTTTTTTTTTGTTGGGATACCAGTCGTTTGGGTGGAGGGTTTTGGGGGAAATGCTAACCGTCACGTATTACCTGGGCACATTATTAGCCACACACGCACATTTTTACTCATCCAACCGTACATTTTTCTGTACGTTTGTTTGTTTTTTATGAAAACGGTTCTGCGGACCTCTGTCCAGCGAGCGCTAGCGTCCAGCCCCATGCCCTGGAGCTGCCTTCGCTCCCGGTACCCACGGTAGTTGCGCTGGATAACTTCTGCCGCGTGATTCTGCTCGTCTGTTGTCGCCGTCATGTTTGCCATGCTTTTTTTTTCTTTCTTTCTTGCCTATTGTTGCTACTTTTCAAAACTTGGCACCCGGCTGGCATGCCACCTCCATATATCTTGTGGCGCAGGGAAAACGTGGAGAAGGGCTGAGAGTGTCCGTGTCCGTTGGTGAGGCTTGACAGCTGAGCACAGACCCTGTGGAGCTAATTGTAATCCGGTACGCCGGCATCTTTTTTTGCGTCAGGTGCGAAAGCCCACGCGCCGCGTCATCATCAATCGTTCCTCTCTTTCTCTCTCTCTCTCTCTCTCTCTCTCTCTCTCTCTCTCTCTCTCCCTGTTTTATTTTGGTTTTCGGTGAGGCATATTTATATCCCTCATTCTCAGGGACGTCATAGTAAACGCTCAAGTACCTTTTGAGTGGCTGTTGTAGCAAAACGAGCGAGAATTTTAATGTTTTTTTTGGGGGGGGACTTCTGAAAACCTGTTTATGAAAGCGTAAAGATGACGAGGTTTGAAGTTGGTTAAGTTACAACCGAGCTTTGGAGTGGCTTGCCCACGTGACCTTGGGTTCTAGATTCTTTAACTACGAACGGAACTACTCTGGGTCAAAACCGTCGAACACAGGGCATAGCCTTTTGTAAAGTCAGAGATGGAAAAAAGTGTCGCTTGCTGCTTGGGTTGGTTATATCTGTTTTTTCGAAGTTTAGTAGAGATTTTTGCTGTTAGCAATAATTATATAAATTGCATTAACTAGTCATGATTAAAATTCCAATGCAGAAAATAAAAATTACTAATCGCGATTGTTCTACGTTGAAGCTTGATATTCCAGAGCCAATTTCTGGATCTATGGTTTTCTTTCTTTTTTTCGAATTTCCAAAATGAAGAATACAGAGAAAAAAGGTTAGTTTTCCTCTTCTCCATGAAAATTGTGGGTTCACCTATTTCTCAAGTAATATGCGGTTGAACATCTTTCTATTTGCTGTAGCGCAAGTCTTCTTACCATGTTCGCGATACTATCTATTTCCAAAAATGCCCCCCCGTTGTTGCACACTTCAACTCCTGATTGCTAGCTACAACACAGCGTGTTTCAGTTCAACATGGTGGACAGTGATCCACTAGTTCCCGTCCAACAATCGGTCTAGTATCCAAAACTATGGGACACAAAGCTCTCTTACGAATTTCCTCCAAACACATCGGCATAAAAAGATTGACCATCAGTACACACGAATACCTCCTCTCTCTTATTCCTCACGAAGACCGAAAAGATGCAACGCATGACGCCCCCATACATCCCAGCACCTCCAAGCCAAATAACACGCATATCACCCCAGCGCTTCTTAAACCACGTCCTCCTTTCCGTTGTAGCAACCCTTATCCCGCAACTCCTTCACCTCCTCCTCCACGTCCCCCTAACCCATCTCTCCCTAGCCGACTTCATCATCATCCTCCTCCTATCCTTCAACCCCACAAACATCCTCAGTCTCGCCTTCCGCCTTTTCTTCCTCGACCTGGGCACTCGCGACCCCCTCCGCAGTGCATCCTACGGCCTCGCCGTCTCATCTATCGTCGCCACGCTACACGGCGTCACTCTACTGCTTGGTCGAGTGGTGGGTTTACAGCGCGCCAGCATGCTGCCGTGCATTTTTGCCGTGTGTTTTGGGTGATTGGGAAGTGCGAAGGTTGTAAGGCAGGCTAATTATGTGGGATTTTGGGCGGTGGTTGTACTGGCGAGGCAGTGGGGATTGTTTAGGTGCGAAAGCGGTAATGTTGAGAGTGAGTCTGGAAATGGCAATGAAATGGATGTAAGCTGTAGTTGTGGTGTGCAACAGTAAGGGTATATCTCTCGGCAACTGCATGATCATCGGCTGCATTTCCCACTGCTTAACGCCTACTACGATAGCCGGTTTCATAGTCAAATTTTCATCTTGATTGTCTTTATGCGCCAAAGAATGCTTGCCATCTGCTTTTCATGTCCTGTAATGCACACACAACCTCAGTGTATACTGCACTCTGCAGTGCGTCACCATGAAGATCGTCGTCGCAAGAAAAGTCGCAGTGAATGCATTTGCGCACAACTTCCAGATATTTGGGACCTAGAGTCTGGATAGAGTGGTGCTTTTCGTCAAGCATCTTTCTTGCTGCGATGATGTCCCAGGGTGTGCCGTTTAGTTGGGGTCCTGTAATGTCTCCTTGAGCACAAATTTCCAGAAGGGCAACGCCGAGTTTAGCTAGAGTGAGGTTGCGAATGCCAAACGTGTGCTTCAGATCAAGCGCGTCGTGATTTGGATCGGTGGTGAGAGAGGTATCGTCTGGAAAGCGGTTGCTCAAATGCAAGCTATCGAGTGCGTCGGAAATGTCATTGACATCTGCGTGAGATGGATCCGTGAAGTACGCCACGTCTTGAAGAGTCCATGCTTGAGGGAGCCAGGAGGTTGAATGGTACTGCAGAACTGCCTCGGCTAACTTGTGTGCAAGTGTAAGCTGTTGCAACATACGAAAGCGCTGGACGAGGCTCTTGATAGGCATGGCCCCTTTTCGCCTGGCAAAAGACGATATGTCGTGGGTGGCGAGTTTACTGGCATCGTAGAACATGAATCGCATTACTGGCTGACTCTTTGCGACTTCAAGAAATCCCACGCAGCCATCTTGACATGCCGATGCAGACGAGTGCATTCTTGTCACGTGGCAGCAAACGCTTTCCGTTGTTTTCAAGTCCAGCATGACAAAAGATTGGGCCTGTGTCGTTTGTGTGTTGCTTTTTATAGTCGTTCGAACACATCTCACATCATCTTTAGGATCGTTGATTCGAACCCTCTTCTTTGATTTGGCCTTTTCTGACTTTGTCTTGGTTGTAACTGGCAATGTTTCTCCTACTCCGGGACATAGTGCGCTCATCAGTGCTGGTCGAGGCGTTGTCGGCACTTTGTACGGTGCAAGTGATGTGATAGACCGAATTTGTAGCCATATTGGCACGTCGGCGGATGGCCTACACATTGTTAGCAGGAAGATTCTCGTACAACGCCTCAGGCTGCGAAGCATGCCGGTCCTAACATACTTTTGGACTGCGAGATCTACTTTTGGTTGGCATGCGACGACAACATCGAGCTGCACATTGTCGTGCCCGCTCTTCGCATCGAGCGATAGCTTGGCCTGGTGCCCACTATGAGAAGTGTTCGTGCAAGACCATGACTCGTGGATCGACTCTCCTAGTTGTTGTGAGGCGATGCGGATCTGCTGATAGCTCTTCGGCACGGCCTTGCGAATGATGCAAGCCGATGGGACATTGCGGCGCTTCTGCATCTTGCACCTCTGTTTGCGCAACTTGCTCAGTGATTTGTTCCATTTGTCCAAGGACTCCAGCTGTCGGATGTATTCATTCTCTTTACGAGTTGTGTTGAAAGCGTGCCAGATCTTCCTTCTGAACTCGTGTTGCGGTTGTTTTGTGTTGCCCAGGCCGTCCTCGAGCGTGCTTAGGCTTTCTCGAGTTTCGCGTAGGATATCGCGGAGTCGCGTCACAATATCCTCACATAGCTCGTAATCCTGTTGCATCAGGCTCCGTAGTCGCTGCTCAATATCCTTTCCTTGCTCTTGCCAGTTCTTGTGCATCGGATCCTCCATCATCTCAGATATCTCGCTGGGGTCGGCCATGGTCGCCTGTAGTAGCATGCGGCAATCATTGTTGAAATTCGCTGCCGCTACTCGGAACTTCAGCTGGATGTCGGATGCAACTTCTGCGTGCCGTGAGAAAGTTGTGAGCTTGCGCCTGGCGGTGCTGTAGGATTTGAGAATCTCAACAACAACTGGCACTACACCAAAGACCAAGCCTGCGACTTCGATTCCCGACATGATGTGGAGAAAGAATCTGAGGAGACATGAGGGCTGATCAGGCTGAGCACAATTGCATTATTGGCGGAGTGAGGCGCAGTTTGGCCCCCATTGTGACACCTAAGCGCTCCTGCCCCTCAACGGCTCAGCCTGATTGCAATGGCTCCTTCTCCACACCAATATCACAGTAAAGAATCCCTCGATTAACGACTCGTCGTTGACTCATATTCTAACGGCTCTTAAGCATCCAATTGTTTGCCCTTCGAGTTTCTCGTCGAATCTGATGCTGCAGGCTCGGTCCATGAAGTGCAGGTCAGCCAACAAAGATCCCAGCTACGACGATTCATCAGCGCAAAACTGATATTGGGAACAGCGAGAGTATGTTGTGGTAGGGAGCCACCTCAAGACTGGCAATCCCCTTGCGCGACAAACTGTATGTTCAAATAGTTATCGCCCATGTTTTCAGCAGGGGCCCGCCACAAGGCGACGTCCGCCGAAGAAGGCAGCTCGGTGATGGAGCGCTCCCAAGAAACAGCATCAACGCCCCCGAGCAGCCCCAAAGCTTTATTGAGAGCACGATCACCAGTACTCGCTCCCAGAGCCCATGTCTTCTCAACGTCTGGATCACAGAACTACCTACCAATTACCTTCGATCGCACAGATCAGGTGGCTCCTCCAGGGGCCAAAACTCGACTTACAGCAAGCTTTTGGGAGGACGAAGGCTCCCTTTGTTTTCAAGTTGAAGCTAGAGGGGTTTGCGTGGCTCGCCGTGAAGACAACCACATGATCAACGGTACCAAACTGTTGAGTGTGGCTGGACTAGGTCGAGGCCGTCGAGACGGCATTTTGAAGAGCGAGAAGACTAGACATGTGGTCAAGACCGGTCCGATGCACCTCAAGGGTGTTTGGATCCCATTCGAGCGTGCACTGGCCTTGGCAAACAAGGAAAAAATTACCGAGTTACTATATCCTTTGTTTGTGCATGATATCAAGCAGCTCCTATACGATCCGAAGAATCAGAAGCGCACCTATCTTGCCAACCCCCAACGTAAGTCCCAGGAAACAAAAGAATGGGCCGAGCCTACCGAAAGCCACGCCCGTCAGATTGATGTGCCAGAAGAGAGCGACAAAACTTCACAAAAGATCCTGTTGGATACACTACGAAATGATGAGCTCCACGAGAGAGGCCCCATTGGATCGCTATCCAGGTCTCTCATAGAGACTTTGGGCCTGATTCTTATTGAGGTCAGAACACACTCCGACAGTGCCCTACACTATGGTTCCCTGGAGTCAAGCTGTGCAGCACTGTTTTTCTGGGATATTGATCTAGGATTATCGCGAGGCGATCTCGACGATATGCTACAAGACTCTCCTCAGCTACGTGATACTTGTCTTACTGTGCTTGTGTCAATCTCCCAATTTGTCAGCACATGTATGTGGATGATACACGAGCTATTATATTGCGAATCACTGACATGGCACAGCGTTGATACATCTCATCAGTAGCGAGCAGCGCCGAAAAGAAGTGTTACAGTCAACAAGGATTTTGACATGTCTGGATCAAACCGCTAATATGATTGAGCAGCAATGTCATTCAACCCATGAGCCTGAACAAGATGTCGAAGCATTGTGTCAGATTCTCCGTACAAAAATCGATACTCTCATCATGCTAGCACCCAGCCTGGAATCACCAGCAGAAGAAAGCTTTGATGACGAGGAGCCACGTACTATTCAATACATCGAGAAACACCTACCAGAGCAGGCTTATATCAACAGCATTTCGGAAAAGTTCCCTCTAGCAGAATCAGCAATTATAGCTCAACTAGGAAAATTGAACTGGGATCGATACAATCACATGCTTCATTTACAGCGGGAAACGGTGCAGCAGGAACTCCAAATGGCCGCCATGGAGAAGGCAAGGACAATATTCAATGACTCTGGTCTCGGGGTATCTTTACCGGCACAGTCAAAAGCTGCTTCCAGCTCCGGATCTGTATACGCACCCTCGATTATGTCTACCAGGGCTGAAGCAAGTCACAAGCGTGTGCCTCCACTTCCTGCACAAGCACGGTCTGGTGAGCCTTTTACCTGCGAAATCTGCAATAAACAAGTCAAGTTTCAGCGAACCAAAGCCTGGAAGTAAGTTGATTCATCCCCATACACTTTTAAATGCATTGGCGTTAATCAAATCGCCTTAGGAAACATGTCTTTAGTGATATACTGGCATATGCTTGCTTCTTCGCCGAGTGCTGCAACACTCGCATGTTCTTCGAGGACAGCGATGCGCTAATGACCCACCTGCAAGATCAACATGGGATGGATGTTCGAATCTCGGATGTGGAGTGTCCTCTCTGCATGGAGTTTACTTCTGGAGACCGTGATATCCTAACACTCCACATTGCCCGCCATATGGAAGAAATCGCTCTTGCAATCCTACCTTCTGGTGTTGACTCCGAAGAAGAATCAGCAGATGAATCAGGAAGCGTCATTAGATCTGATGATAGCTCTGAATCTTCTGAAAGAGTGATCCAAAGTGTTGAAGAGAACTCCACCGATGAAGGTACCGGTGTCGTTCCCACCCATGCCGGAAACTGGGAGTGCGCTGATATTCGCTGTGGGAACTACAATTTGGCAAGCTACACTGCCTGCCTCCGCTGTGGAGCTAGTCGTGCCGGTGCTGCTGTTGTTGCCGATTCTGCGTTCCCGTTGTCAAAGGACACGCCCTCTTATTATGGCATGGCTCCTCCCGTAGGTGCTGGTCCCGGTTCCGGGGTAAATCCGACTGATCTAGAATCGCAGAGTCACTATTGGATGGAGCCAACACCACGGTATAAGTATCCTCTGACAGAAACTTCGGATGTTCAATCTCATGCGCCAATGGAGGATATGGATACAGAGAACCTAGTAAAACCTTATGCTCGATTTCATACTACCATAAGGCGTACTTCTCAACCTACTTCAACGCGTATTTCTCCTCCTCGGTTTCCGTATACCTTCGAACGTACTCCTTCACCGCCTGACCTATCATACATGCGACAAGACCCTTATTCGCAAAGACCTACAGGTGCACAATTATCTGGAATCTCGTTTGAGCCTCTTGCAAGTCATCAAACACAGAGAAAAACGCCACCAGAGCGTATAGGGAGGCCAAATTCACTAGAAGGTGAAGATATGGACCCTATGAAGGGAGGAAATTCTGATTTACATTTTACCGGGGATTCACCATTACTTTCCCTTCCACAAAAGCCGCTAGGGCCACTTCACAAAGCCGACGAAGAGGACAGGGCAGCTGAGAAAGCCAGGCTATATGTGGAACTTGTGAATATAAAACTGGGGAAAGCTGCAAAAATAGCTGAAGAAGCGAAGAAGAGGGGTAACGAGGACAAGCCTGCCAAATTGCCGCCACCTCCTGCTCCTGCATCTATCAACTATAGATTCGCGCATTATGATCCTTTTCCACCAGTACACGACGGGGCACGTGGACAATTTGATACCCAGGATTACGGAGACGAAGCAACATTTCTCCCAAATTCGATATCACAAAGCCACATAACTCCTATCCCACAGATACGACTACCCCCGCTGCTACTTTCACCCCATGACTCAAGTAAAGAACGTTTTGAAGAACCGTCCAGAGAGCTTAAATCAGGACCTCAAGACAACACTGAACCGTCTTCCGAACAAGGAACAAAAATTGAAGATACTTTTTCTTCCAACGATCTTCAGTTACCAATCTACGGAAATATGAATATAGAGACTCCGGAGGTTAGTGTATCGTCTGACTCGGAGCCTGAAGACAACAGTAAATCACCTTCTGAACAACAAACAAGACCCGGAGGTGCTCCGGATTATCCTGGAGCGATCGAATTGTATTTTGATGCTCTAAATTCGTTGGACGAGCGGGGCGGACGAGTTGAATCAGAGCATCAAGACAACATTGAAATTTCTTCTGAACAACAATCACGACCTCGGCGGGCGTACAGGAGTTACCACGCCCCTGGTACAAAGTTCAGAAGCTACGAAGGCCCCGGGAAACGGCACGAAATGTGACACTAGACTACAGTGGGTATGACGATTGGATACGACCATCAATTTGTCTTTGGATATAGAATCATTTCCTTAGGTTACAAATACAAGCCAAACGTTCCTGAACAGAATTGATCAAGAATCTGCATTTCGTTGAATGCTATAGTGGTAATTTGTACCAGAGCAAGCGGATTAAACCCTACACAGTAGCAGAGATGTTCATTCCCCGTCACTGCCCCCCAGACTCTGCATCCCCACTCTCAAACATCATCAACAACCCGCCACGCATCCCCCATCAACGCATTACTCACCTCGGCCCCCTCATCCACCAACTTCCTGCTCCCCTCCTCCCCCACAACCGGCAATCGCACCTCGACCCTCTTCCCCTCTGGCACCGTCTCCCCCTCAATCGCAAACGGAAACCTTACGTACTCCGGAAGTAGCCCGCACTGCTTAAGCAGCGAGGCATGGTCCCAGCTAATGTGCTCGTGGCACAACCTATCGCCGCGCAAAGCGACGACGGAGGTGAAGGGGATGGCGAGGCGTTTGCCGGTAGGGGGGATACCCGGGAGGAGCCAGGGGACGGTGCTGGTGTGGGTGAGAGTGAAGATGAATTCGTCGATTACGCGGTCGATTCCTACAGTGCGGGAGACGAGGGAGAGGGAGGTATCTGGGGGGTTGCTGAAGATGAAGTGGTGGGTGTAGAAGGAGGTTAGGTTTGTTTTGCCGATGCCGCCGCTGTGGTTGAGAGGTTAGTTGGGGCGAGTGTTTTGGAGAGAAGGGGGAAGGGGCAACGCACGTCATTGTGGGGATGTGGTTGACGTAGGGTTGGTCGACCATTGTTGCCATTGTCTTTTCTACGTCTCGCTCGCCAAACTCGTATTTTGTGTGTTCCTCCCAAACGGCTTCGAGGTCGAAGTAGGGTCCTCCTAGGAGTGGTTTGAGAAATGTTAGACTTCTGGTGTGCGCGATTCCAGCGTTGCGTTTGTGGTATTTTGGGTCGCTAGGCAGGATCCAGCCGGATTCTTTCTCTGCATCTTCGTAGCGATATGTCTTGACGCTGCTGGGGGAAATGCCAACTGATTCCGAGGATGACTGGCGACGGTGAGCTAATGGAGGACCGGATGTATGGATTAGCTGGGGCGGTTGATTGGTAGAGCTGAGAGAAACGAATTTTCTGCCACCGTAGGATATGAGAGCTTTGATAGCTGGATTTTGGCATGCGGCTTCCTCAACGTAGTAAGGAATTCGTGATATGTACGCTGGAAGATAGCCGTCAGCACGCGACCTGGAAATGGACTTGGGGTTTTGGGGATTTGAAAGAAAGAGTTTACGAACAAATCAAGCCAACGCCCTTGTCAAACTCGCATCCATCACAGCTCTTGAGGGCATCCAGCGCTTTTTGCAACGGGAACTCTCCGCCATCCTCGGCTTCATTGCCTGGAACCAGAAGCTAGTGGGCTCTTAGCATCCGTGTCAACGTCAAACCTAACCTGCTCCTCCTCTTCATCGCACTACAGTGAGATTCCCATGTTTCCAAACCAACATACCTGCACGACTGCAAAACCCTCCTCCGCCCACTTCTGTAACGGCGGCGGATCCAAATACTTCTCACTCGGCCCAATCTCCGCGTAATGATCCAGCACAAGCACCAATCCGGGTCCTCTTCCCCGCCTCGACAACGGCGCCTGAAGCGTCACATGCGAGGATATACGTTGCGGCTTCCTCGACGTAGTATGCGCCTGTTCCGTCTCGAGAGGTGGGGTAATTTTCGCCATAATTGAAGCGTTTGAGTTAGTGTTGGACTGCCTCTTCTCTGCCTCCTTACAAACCGATTCTCAAATTAGATAGAACGTTAAAGGAGAAAAGGGGGTCTGCGACGTAAGTTGACAAAAAAAAAGTTGCTATCGGGATCGTAAGGGTCCAGATCAAACGAACAATCAGCCCGATTCGCAACGGCAACGATAAGATGGGGGTGGAGCAACAGCCCACCTGCTTGCCTTGATGGTGGGGTAAAGTAGCAACCTACCTAAACAGGCGCCGCATTCAGGTCATGTATGACAAAGAAAGAGGGGGCACGCTGCATGCATGACTTTATTTGTTTGCGAGTCCCCGCATGCCCAAAAAGTGCCCTGCCATCCTTTTTCTTCTACGTAGGCTACCAGCAGCAGCCCGTTGGAATTACCCCAAGTTCCCGGCGTAACCACGAGTGCACAGTGGTGTAGTACAGACCTTACTTTAAGCGTCTTGTAGTGCTTTTTGTACGAGGTTCCTTCCACGCGCGCGCGTTGCGTCGGGTAAATGGGATCTATGTGTTGCGAGGGTGCGGAGTGTTGTGTGCTCGGAGTTTCTATGTAGATTGGATGCGTGTACAAGGGGGGACAGAAGTACAAGCGAGGGCATTGTGTAGCAAAGGAGTGCACGTGGTGAAGTAGCAAGGTACCTTCCTACATGTATGCATGGAGCTAAGTCTCTTTAGGGTATCCGATGTTGGTATCGCCTCTTTAAGGCTGTCTGTTCGAGGGTCTCCTTGGGTTTGTGTAATATATGACACACCGTTGGATGGGGGCACTCTATGTCTTTCTCTACGCTCTCAACCGATATTTCTTTTTGTAATGACTCTTTTTGTTAATGACATCATTCGGTTTAGTTCTGCTGCATAACACGTGATGAACACGTTTGCACGAGACTTATCATGTGTTACCCAGCATTGTGTGAGGACGAGAACATCGAGTCTGAATCATAAAAGGACATATTTTCATAAAGGGTTGGGCTTGTTACAACCAGGAATGTTAGATTTAGCCAGACGCTTCTAGTGAAGTCTATACCTACATCAACCCATGCCAAAACCCTGGCACGCTTCATACGTTTGATCCAATTCCTTCGTCTCAAATCACTATGCTACCCTCCCCAAATGTAGCAATTTTCGTTCATCGAAACTTTTTCCGGCCGTGCGAAGAACTGGGCAAACGAAAACCATCAAATGTAGGCAAGGAAGGGAGGACTGGTGGAGGAGGAATTTGAGGTGCGCTGGATACAGAGCGCAATGAACTAGTCTCTTCGGGCTGATTCTGGTAAGCATCAAGTCCTCAAGAATCCGAATCCATCTCCTGCTGTCTTACACAGGGAGAAAGTCCAGTAGGCAAATCTTGTTGAGTGTCGTGGCGCGTCTGGTCCTCGCCCTTCCCTTCTTCTTGAGGGGTAGGAGTCTTTTGCTTTCTTTCTTGTATCGTGTTATCCTTCCTGCCTTGCTCACGATCAGGCTGATTCCTGCGGTCAACTTCGTCTACCCCGGCCCTAGCTCTGGCTCTGGCTGCAAGTCGATGCTCCGGGAACATTGGGTCCAACTAAGTCGCCACCTTGACCCAAAGATGCTTGTACCAAGCCATATCTGCTTGTTGATATGCTAGCAAGTGAGAGTTGTTTGTTTGGTCCTCCGGTTTGCCGAGAAGATGGTGACCAAGGACGTTGGTCAAGAGTAGGCTTCGTGGCAGGAAGAGAATGGGTTGTGGAGATGATAACAATGTGTGTCGTATAATAAGAAGCACGAGTGTTCCGTAATGTTACAATGTGTAATAGTCAGCTCGGTTGCGGAAAATAAAGGATGGAGCTAAGCGCTGATTTGTTGTTGGGGCAGTCTCATTGCAGCCTCTGAGATGGTAGTTGAATGTTGCTCACGATGAGCAGGCGCTGCATCCTTGGTAGCGGCGTTGGCTGCACCCTTGATCTGTTCAAGGACCTGGGCAGCAACCGCGACGGCATCTTCGGGAAGCCCTGATTGTGCGTCAGCATCACATAGGAAAGAGCATCCTGACACAGGCGACTTACCTGCAATTCTAGCGACTTTCAACGCATGGCTTTCCCGATTTACGCCTTTTCTCAATCGGTGTATATAAGAGAACTGCCCGTTGGGTTCTTCAAGTACATCGTTGCAGTAACAGCCGAGCTTCTCGAAGTCCTTAGTCATATCGGTGAGCGCGTGAAAATGGGTTGCAAACAGTGTCCGGCATTGATTGACATGGTAAAGATGATGAAGGCAGGCATATCCCACGGCGATGCCATCCTCCGGTGTTGTTCCCCGGCCCACTTCGTCCATAATGACAAACGAACGAGGCGTAGCCTCCTTGAGGATTTGGGCTGTTTCAAGCATCTCAACCATGAACGTGGATTGATCTTGGTAAAGATTGTCTGCTGAGCCGACGCGACTAAAAACCTTGTCCACCAAGCCAATTTCTGCATATTCTGCCGGGACAAACGATCCGGTTTGCGCCAAGATGGAGATGAGTGCGTTCTGTCGTAGATAGGTACTTTTACCAGCCATATTGGGGCCGGTGATCAGCCATATACGTTCTTGCTCGCCTAGTTGGCAGTCGTTCGGTGCAAATCTGCGTCCTTGTTCATACAGGCCACTTTCTACAACTGGATGTCGCCCGCCGATAATATGATGCGACGGCTTTGCACCAAGAATAGGGCGGATGAAGTTTTTCTCGATGGCAAGGGCGGCAAAGGCACATGCAACATCCAGTTCATCAAGTACGGCTGCGTTCCGCCGTAGTTTTACAAGGTTTCGTACTACTCCTTCACGTAGCTCACTAAGAACACGCTGCTCCTCTGCTCGGATACGGAAGCGAGTCTCGTCCATCTGAGCCCCTAGCTGCGTCCATTCAGGAATTTGGAAAGAACGAGTGGACTTGCTGCTACTCAAGCTCTTTGGATAATGATGCGCCACTCGGGACATGTCTTTTCCTTTGACATGCGCAATATGAGCGAGGTTAGGAGTCCATTTCAGCACCAAGCTCTCAGTTCCCATGTCTTTGCGCAATTTACTTTCCAGTTCGCTTTTAGCCTGTCTCAATGTTTCCAAGGTCTCATGCAGTCGCTCCAGAGTCTTACTGGCATTTTGTTTCATGATGTGAACATCCTCTCTCCCGTCTGTGGCGCTCTTGAAGCTCCCTGCTATCATATGAGGTTTAGGCTGAACGCGCTTTGGCATGTTCTTCAAGTCTTCTTCGCCAGCCTCTCGACCCAGCACGTCCTGAGCTAGTTCCGACATCTCTTCAGCCTCTTCATTTTCGATGCGATGATACTCAGATAAGCTGTCCTCGTCGATAGCTTCTTGGATTCGGTGTGCAAGCTGCAATGGTAAACCTAGATCGAACCGACGTTCTAGCATTGAGATGCACAACCTCCGTCTGTTGTCAGACGCTGCATTTGTTGGGTCAACCGGAACGGAATTCCTGAATTGCACGTGTTCCCGCAACTCATCGAAGATGGCAGAGGTCGTGATGATTGTTTTTGAAAGTTCCATGAGGTCATCGGCGTCCCCACGGCCGTATGTAAACTTGGTAACCAGCCGAAGAGAATCGAACGTTTGCTCTAGTAGTGCAATAATGTTCTGACGCAGTTGTGGATACTGTATCATCTCTTCTACCAGATCGAGTCTATCGTTGATGGTTGAAAGAGACATGGAAGGGGCAGCTTCGTCTCGTCAGTAATTTTCAGATACTATTATTGGTTGTGTACTTACATAGGCGCTGCGTAAGTAGCCTTGTTCCGCTCTTCGTGACCGTCTTCTTTAGAGTGTGTAACAAGCTTCCTTCGTATGTTCCATCACGAATAGTACTCCTAATTTCTAGTGCTCTCAGACTGTTCTTATCGATGCTCATATAGTCTTCGGCTTGGTGTCTTATCGGAGCCTGAAGCCGTGTCTGTGAACCAAACAGTTGGTGCTTGACGTAATGTAACAATGAACCTCCTGCAGCCACTTCACCAAGGGTGAAATCGGCCATGCCAAAATCACCCACAATCTCTTCTAGCATGGGTTTCCAGCTGTCAACAGTCGACTGCATTTTAGGGGGGTCTTGGAAAGTAATTGTATGCCCATCTTGTTGTATGGCAGAGACAATGTCAGAGTAATCAGCCTCTTGGAAGACACTGCTCAATACAATCTCCCTCGGTTTGATACGAGCGAGCACTGAGGGCAGGGACGCAATGTCTGTATTCTGGGTCAGGAAGTCGCCACTGGATAGATCGATCCATGCGAGTCCAATCTCAGTGCGCGGTAGGTTGAGAACTGAGGAAACGCTTGCACTGCCAGGGCTCTGTTTTAACGCAGTTTCTTTCCTGAGCACTTCTGGATCTACATGGATACTAAGAAGGTAGTTGTTCTCCCATGGATCCATAAAGTGCTCATCAATCAGGGTGCCCGGCGTCACAATGCGCGAAACCCTTCTCGTGTACTGAGGCTCACCCTTTGCTTTGGTTGGTGCATCATTGACATACTCGTCGCTTATTGCAACATGCTTGTTGAGGTCCTGGACAAGAATTTTGAGATAACGATCCAACTGGTAGGCGGGGAAGCCAGCCTAGGACCATTAGCGCTAATTTCTTTTTACCAGGAAAATGGGCTGTTGACTGACCATAGATACTGGAGGCTTCTTACTGCCTTTCAAGGCCTTTCTTCTGGTTTTTCTGATGTTTAACAGGGGCGCAAACTCGTCTGCATGCTCAAAGTATAGCTTGTCATCAATTTAGTAAGAATGGCAGTGGATCGGCGATGCTGGTCAAGTACCTCGTAGAAGCCTCCGACGCGTGTGAGGAGCACGCAATGGCTGAACTTGAGCATGTTATTGCGCACTTGCTGCAATAGCGGAGGGTATTCTGGTTCGGCGTCATTCTGGGGTAGTAGCGCCTGGGATTGAATAGGGCCTTGTTGTATGTCATCCAATTGCAAAGTAGTTTTTCTCTTTGCGCCACGGCGTTGGGATGCTTGAAGCCATGGCAGACTCACATGCTGTGCAGCACGTGGTTTCGCGAAGGGTCGCGTTGAGCTTGGGACGAGACCCGCAATGGCAGTGTATGGTCTGTAAGCAACCGACAGAATCCTGGTTTGGGGGAACAGATTTGAACGTGCCAGACATTCGGCACGCCTGGAGAGCATCCTCGTTTTTTAAGTTGTGTAGAGGGAATATGGGTGGGGTACAATGGTCGAAATGCAGGGACGCGTCTGCATCTGGTTAGCTCACCGGACCTTTAGTACGCGGGGTACTCGGAATGTCCAAAGTTAAGCCGCTGACGATACTTCAATGTGCATCCGCCCCATCTGCTTCCATTCACAACAAAAATGGCGCCCCAATTCGAGCCGATGAAGAATGATTTGATCCTACGCACAGCGAGAGGTTAACAGCCCTCCACTATTCCGGATGGACATCGTAAAATTGACATTGCATAGGCGAAAAGGTCGAGCGCCCGCCAATATGGGTAATGCGGCAAGGTACAGACTCTCGTCCTCGAAGACGCTCAGGCGCTGATGATGCGTAGCCGGGCGCTATCTCCCCGAGTATCACAAGGAAAAGGGCACCAACGACTTTTTTGAATGCTGCCGCAGCCCCGAAATCGCGTCGAATCTCACCCTGCAGCCGATTGAGCGCTACGCCGGCCTCATTGACGCTGCCATCATCTTTTCCGATATCCTTGTCATTCCTCAGGCCATGGGCATGGAGGTGATAATGGTAGACAAGAAGGGACCCCACTTCCCGGAACCACTACAAACTCCGGATGACAAACAGTACAAGGAGGTACTTGAGAGAGAGGTGAATGTTGCAGAATCGCTCGACTATGTTTACAAGGCCATTACCCTCACAAGACAAAAGCTGGCGGGAAGGGTACCGCTGATTGGCTTCTGTGGTGCGCCTTGGACTCTGTTGTGCTACATGGTTGAGGGTGGAGGTAGCAAGATGTTTATTCAGACCAAAACATGGATCTACAAATACCCAGAGGAGAGCAAGGCGCTGCTGCAGAAGATTGCAGAGCTTTGTGTCGAGTATCTTGCTCTGCAGGTGCAAGCTGGAGCTCAGGTACGAAGCACGATAACACCCGGACGCACGACGCTGACCACTGCAGATGATCCAAGTCTTTGATTCGTGGGCCGGCGAGCTATCACCGTCGTCCTTTAAGACATTCGCTCTTCCATACCTCACCTACATTGCTGACAATCTCCCGGAGCGTCTTCGGTCCAAAGGGCTGGAGCCCGTCCCGATGACCGTCTTTGCCAAAGGAGCGTGGTATGCCTTGGCGGACCTCTGCGAGACAAACTACAACACGATCGGGTTGGACTGGCTCCATGCACCGGCAGAGGCATACAAGGTGGCGCAGGCAAAGGGCAAGGTGCTGCAGGGCAATGCAGACCCCGGTGTTTTGTATGGTAGCAGGGAATCCATTACAAAGGTAGTCGAGGAAATGGTGGCTGGCTTCGGCGGCGGCAAGCAGGGATGGATTGCCAACCTTGGTCACGGTATGTTATTTGACATGTTACATTCTGTCGCTTTGGGCGCTAACAATGTGCAGGCATCACGCCGTTTGTCAAGCCGGATGATCTTAAGTTCTACTTTGAAGAGATCCACCGATTGACAAAGGCTTAACATAGAAGCCTAGCTGCATTGGGCTGGCCAAGCCTGCTCCGCCAGTGAGGCGGGCTTTGAGTTCCTGCCAAGCACGCAGAGCTCTGCCTATGTGTGTCGTCAGCGCCTCGATGTGTTAGTGGTGCACAGTGGGGTGAGAGATGTGTCATGTGGTGGTAGAATGGATGGCAAGTCGAGACACTGGAAGCCAGACCGACTTGGTTTCCATGGAGATGACGATCAGGCTGCCAGCCCTGTCCCTGCACGTGTTCTGCACTCTAAAAATGACATATGTACACATCTATGTCTCATGTCACAGGGCTGTGCATTCTTGTAGCCCAAATGAAACCAGCTTCGGCCTTGACCAGTATTCTTCCGTCTTTGAGCTCGTCGGTCGCAGGCACTATTGCTACATACACAGCTCATGACCAAAATTTTCATCCATTTTTTTCCTTCTGTCCTGGTTGGCTTCTGCACGATGGCGCCACGAGCCAAGGGCAAAAAGGGTCCTCGTGCATCGCCAATCGTGGAAACATGAGCCTTAGCGATCGACTGCCCCCCGATTGGCTGCTGAGGGCATGGTCCGAGCGTGCGTTCATTGGAAGCTTCCTAAGACTTGAGCACCGAGGACATGTGCATTTGATGCAGAAATGGCGTTTCAAGGCGGATTATGGCTGAATGATCGTGAATTATCGAGTCTTGAGCGCCTGTTGAATCGTTTGGGCAGGCATACGAGTGCTTTGAGGCTATCCTGGGCTGTCGAGGCCCCATGGAAGGCCGTGGAATGGGTTGGAATCTTCTCTCGCTCGGCGCTGCCGGTGTATTTGCAACTACTACTTTTAAGTCCACAGGCGGCCATCACCATCTGCTTCCACACAAATAATACACCCACTGTCTCGAGCCACAACCTCGTGCTCGCCTGTTCCTGTTTTGCCTTTCTGTGGCGACGATTGGTAAGTGCTTTTCCTTCCCTTGCCCCCCCTGTTCCTGTCTTCACTGCCGGGCCGCCGTTCACAAGGCTGGCCTTGTGTCGACGTACGCTGCTGCGCACCATAACCCAATGGCCTGACGCTGACCATATAAAAGATTCCCCCAAACTTTACCACTCGCACTCTACACCACTCACCTGTATCCGTCATACTGCCCCTCAGTCCGACTTTTTTTGCGACCCCACTAGCCCCTCTACATCGCTGCACAGCCTGCAACCGCAACCATGGTGAAGGACACCAAGCTTTACGATACTCTCGGGGTAAGCATAGCCCTGCCTTATACCTACAAAGGAGCATAGCCTAACAGAACCAGGTGTCGCCAGACTGCTCCGAATCACAACTCAAGTCAGCATACAAGAAGGGTGCCCTCAAGTGGCATCCCGATAAGAACGCACACAACCCCGAGGCTGCAGACAAGTTCAAGGATCTCTCACATGCCTACGAAGTTCTCTCCGACCCCCAGAAGCGCCAAATATACGACCAGTATGGCGAGGAGGGTCTCGAGCAAGGTGGCATGGGCGGCGGAGGTGGCATGGCTGCTGAGGACCTGTTCGCACAGTTCTTTGGCGGCGGCGGCGGCCCCTTTGGCGGCATGTTCGGCGGTGGCATGGGAGGAGGACGCGAACAAGGGCCCAAGAAGGCGCGCACAATCTCCCATGTCCACAAGGTATCACTCGAGGATGTCTACCGCGGTAAGGTCTCCAAGCTGGCGCTCCAGAAGTCGGTCATCTGCCCCAAGTGCAACGGTGTCGGCGGCAAGGAAGGCGCTGTCAAGAAGTGCGCTGGCTGTGACGGTCGCGGTATGAAGCACATGATGAGGCAGATGGGTCCCATGATCCAGCGCTTCCAGACTGTGTGCCCAGACTGCCAGGGAGAGGGAGAAATCATCCGCGACAAGGACCGATGCAAGCAGTGCAACGGCAAGAAGACGATTATCGAGCGCAAGGTCCTGCATGTCCACGTTGATCGTGGCGTTAAGAGCGGCCATAAGATCGAGTTCCGGGGCGAAGGCGACCAGCTGCCAGGCGTAGAGCCAGGCGACGTTGTTTTCGAAATTGAGCAAAAGCCTCACCCGCGCTTCCAACGCAAGGACGACGACCTTTTCTACCATGCCGAGATTGACCTGCTGACGGCGCTTGCTGGCGGCCAGATCCACATTGAGCACCTGGATGAGCGATGGTTAACTGTTGACATCATCCCCGGTGAGTGCATCAGCCCTGGCGAGGTCAAGGTGATCCGCGGTCAAGGTATGCCATCATACCGACACCATGACTTCGGTAACCTGTACATCCAATTCGACGTCAAGTTCCCCGAGCGCCTTGGCAACGAGGAAGGCGGGCCGATGAACCCTGAGCAGATCCGCGCCCTCGAGTCAGTCCTACCACCACGCAAGGTTCCAGATGTGATGCCTCCGCCAGACGCAATGACCGAGGATTTTACCCTCGAGGACGTTGAGCAGGGCGGTGAGGGTGCACGTGCACGCGGAATGGGTGGCATGGAAGACGACGAAGACGAAATGCACCCCGGTGCTGAGCGCGTCCAGTGTGCATCACAGTAAACATTTGCTGCACATGACTTTTTCATTGCCTGCGAAGGGATAGACACAGTGGTATGAGATTACGAACACGACACTTACCATGGAAAGTAATGGTTTCAATTGGGAAAAAAACACACACCGAGGAAAAAAAGAGGAAGGTGTGTGTGTGTGTTTGTATCCCAGGGTTCGGCGTCGTGGGAGTCTTTTGTTCTATTTTTTCTTGGTTTTGCTGTGTGTTTTTCTTATGATCTGATGAATGGATGCATCAGTCGTGGCTGTGAAGTGGAGTGGTGACGATGAGCCTGTTTTGCGTCGAACGTGAATACAGCGAGAGAGAGTGAGAGAGAGAGGATAGAGCAAGAAGAAGCCTAGGATACCAAAGCATGGTTCTTTTATGAGCTTTTTTTCTTCTTAGTACTTTCTCGTTTAATTTGGTTACATAGACCGATGGAATCAGCAATGTCGATTCTTGCTCTTCTTCTTCGACAAAATTAGACTTGGGATAAAAGTGTCATGTCAGTTGTGTACTTTTTTTTTTACATACTACTAGACCGGATGAAACGAAGACCAAGGCCACTATTACATCATATCACAAGACACAGACGTATAGTATGTAATCATGAATAGTTTTCATTCCTTTTTTCATCCCGCAATAACCAATACAACAAACCGCCCTTCACTCCTAATTCTTACTTGCCCCTGCCCCCAAACACCCCCCAGCCAGCAAGCACCTCTCTCTCCCCCCAGAACATCCACTCCCCTTCCCCATACTTTGCCAGCCCTTCTCTCCGTCCCCTCTCCCCCAGCTCCCCCCACCGCATCAGCAAGTTCCCATCCAGCATGCCCCTAGCACCAGTCCCAGCATCCCACCCGCCATCTGGTGTATCGCTCGCACGGAAAGCACGAGGATTCAATCCCGCAGTTGCATCGAGTGTATTGGACAGGTACGCACTGAGATTGGATAGGCGACGATACGTATCTTCACTTAGCGGGGT